CCAACATCCGAAATGGATAGGAACCAAAGAAAAAGAAGCGCCAGTATTGCTTTTAGCTCATAAGTATGTATTTTGATGTCAAAGGTCCATACAGATTTTGTATTTTGTGTACCTAATAATAGTTTAATATAGGCTGATAGTTAAAGTTTCTTACTGGGAACAATACTGTGTTATCAGAAAGGAATAATTAAGACAAATACTGGGAATTATCATATGTTTATAAAAAGAATAGAGATAGATAGAAGAATAATATATAGATATAATCTAAAACAATGACAAAAGTAACCCGTATACGGGGTGTAACAAAAAGGTAGGTCATATTATATTAATAGCGTATTCTGGGACCAAAAATAGTTCGACACAAATGTGCACATAAACAAAAGTTTTTGCAGCATTTTGAAGTTAAAAAATGAAAACTGAATTTTTCCACCATATTGAAATATGTTTAAAATTTTATATTGAAAATGGATAATCTTTTAAAACATAATAACAGTGAAATTAGTACACGTCATACAAATTTTATGCAAGATTTTTTCCCTTAAACCCCCCCAAATGTTTGTAGACGTTCGAATTAAATTATTATTGTAGTACTATTAGGTAAACACAATATTTTAAAACTTTTTTTGCCTCCTAGTACTTTTTTGATAAGTTAGTTTTTATCGAGATTCGGATTTTTTTTTTAATTTATTTACTACCAGGTCTCTATAATATGTAGTGGGTTTTTGCATATATTTCAAAATGGCCTCCACTTTCTTGAATAAACATTCGACAACGTTTTAAAAAGGAAAATCGAATATTTTGGAAAATCATGGGCACCTGACGAAATCGATTTGCAGCTTCCATGATTCTATTCCTTAGTTATTCGTTTATAAATGTTATAGAATATACGTACCCTTTCATAAATCCCAGAAGCAAAAGTTAAGATCTGCATTTCTGGGCCGCAAAGAAATAGGCGCATCTGGGTCCCTTTCAGTCCAATGTCTAGGAGGATTTTGATCGAAAAGATATTCTCTTATTTCATTATCGTACTGCGCTGGAATGCGTCCTGTAAAAACCACTATTATAACCAGTATATTTCCTGACTGCGAGATAGACCTGGTCTAAGTACTTTGGCAACACGTTTTGTAGAAAATTTAAATAATTTTCACCGTAATTATTTGAAAGAAATACTGGCCCTATTAGGTTATTATGCACAATTCCTGCCCAAACATAGAAAAATTTCTTTGGTGGTAAGGGATTTATTTTGCGTGGTGTTTTGGTTTTCTTTAGCCCAGATGTGCATGTTATGATGGTTCCTAATGCCATTTCTGTTAAACTGTTAAAGGTAGCTTCTTCGGTAAAAAAAAATGATTTCCCATCCTTTTAGGATAATCTTCATCCAGTAATTCTTGAACCGATGTTGACTGATAACAATGAAACTGCTGTTCCTTAAATCTTCTCTAAATCATTATGTGCGAAACATCTAATTAAGCCACTACCATTATTGTACTGTTTCCATAGATTTCTTCAATTGCTTCCAAAATCTTTTCATCGTTTGTATCTACTTTTGGTCCTGGCTAATTGGTCTTTACCAAAGCCATCTAATTAAGTAAAAAAAAAGTATCTACTTTTGGTCGACCATTATTACCAACAAGTTGCGTGCTGCCTGGTGTATTTCGATTGGGATATTTTTCTGCATAACGTATTGCAGCTATTGCACTATTTCCTTGGTATTCACCTGTAATTACCAAATTACCAATAATCTAAAACCCTAATTAAGCCTGCTCAAACTTACCCAGAATTAAATGCATATCTGCCATTTCTGAAATCGTGTACACCAGGGGTGCTTAAACTTGAACTGCTGGCGATCTACCTCAATATTTTTAGACTACTTACGATCAACTGACGATCATATGATCGTCAGTTAGTCGATTGCGATATTTTGACTTAATTATCTTCATTTCAGAAAATGCAGACTCGCACAAGTAAGTTGACCCAAAAAATGCCGTCAGTTGAAGGGCGATTTGCCTTACATTCGGATATTTATCTTCAGATATAAAACGCCAGAAATTTGTATCAGATACTGTAGCTTTGAGATGTATATCTGATATAATCTGCACCAACTCATTTTCAACAGAACATGAGTTCATATTAAACTGACTTGCTATTTCAGTAGCTAATTCCTCAATGTTTTTACATGAAAAAGGATAACTCATAAATGATGCTATATTTTTCAATTTACTGCAATCATAAAAACGCATTTCGAATTGTCCCAAAATATTTGATAATTCAGTCTCATACGTATTATAATTCAACTGAGGAATCCTTGCTTTCAAAGACGGAAAATGTTTTAGATCCTTTCTTTTCAGTTGATCTATCATAAGTTGCAATTTACTTTTGAATGCGTTTACTGCGCTAATCATCTCAATAATAGTTTTTTCTTTACCTTGAAGCTCCAAGTTAACGGTGTTTAAGTGCATTGTGATGTCAGTCAAAAATGCCAAATCATTTAGCCATTTTTCGTTTTTCAAAATCTGAGTGTCATCACCTCTTTCGTCTAGAAAAGCTGTTATTTCGGGCAATAATTCTTGAAACCTTTCTAGGAATTTTCCGCGACTCAACCACCTGACGTCCGTGTGAAGAACTAAATCAGTGTGTTCAGCTGACTCACTATCTTCCAACTGCAACTGAAAGAGCTGCCGTTGCAAGCTACGTGCACGGATGGAATTCACAATTTTTGTTGCAATGCCCATAATTTCCTCCGTGTTTAAAACTTTTGAACACAAAACTTGTTGATGTATAATGCAATGGAATGAAAAAAATGAAGGGAATTCTTCATTAGCTCGATACAATGCCACAAAACCGTTTTTGTTTCCAGTCATTGCTGGTGCTCCATCGGTTGTAATGCACATTAATTTATATATTGGTAGCTCGTAGTTTTTTACAAAATTTAAGAAAACGTCATATATATCTTCGCCACGAGTCTTCCCCTTCAGAGGAATGATTGTCAAAAATTCTTCCTTAGCCAACATGTCATTGAATACCATCCGAATAAAAATACACAGCTGGGCAGTGTCTGTCATATCGATGAATTCGTCGAACTGTAAAGAAAAGTATGTACATTCCATGATATCATGTTTTAGTTTATCTGCGATGTCTTGACTCATGACTTCAATACGCCTTGTGACAGTCGCACGAGATAACTGAAGTTCTCTAATAGCAGACATGATTTCTGTTTTATTTTTAAAATATCCAAATAAAGTCTCACCCGCTTCAATAAATGCTTCCTTCACCACCGATCCATCTTCAAATGGTTTCTTGTGTTTCGCCAAAATATGAGATATTTTAAATGACGCGATCGTAGCAGCTTTTGATTGTTTGGCTGGTCTTGTGAACATGGATTGTTCTTTTTTCAAACAAGATATCAAATCACTTACTTTTCGTTTTCTTAATTCACTCTGTGGCGGAAAATCCTTTTCATAGTTTTTATGAACCGTTTTATGATGCCTCTCTAAGTTACCACGCTTAGGTATTGCAACTGACGCACGACAAATAACACAAATGCACTTATCCTTCACCATAGAAAAGAAAAATTCTTCCTCCCAATCCTTATTAAAATGATACGTTTTAGATTTCTTCACTGCACTCATTTTCCACTATTTAATAATAAACTTTGTATCGACGTAGGATCGCTATCAAGTTACAATTCAGAATAACTCCAATTCCTGCAGGCGCAACATTTATATCGGCGTGAACGAAAGTCTCGAATGTTTCCGTCAAACGCGCCGCCCGAAACTAGACTGTACTGTCTCTCGTCTAGAAACAACACTGGCTTTTCTTTGACAAGTGCCGCGCGTTCCTTTGATAAAGCCACCTTTTGCCGCAAGCAGTGTTATTTTATTACGTAATACATTTTTGTAGTTGATAGAATATCATCCCAAATTTGATTAATAATTATAATAAATATTGAATTAATAAAATAATTGGTTAATATATGTAAATATAAAATATGCTGTGTGGACAGTATTTTGTTGTCCCCACTTCTTTGAATTGCAATGATGCTTAGTCAAGCATTCTATGTATTTGTATAGTTCAGTATTAATAAAAACGTTTAACTCTGCTGACAGTAGTTTAGTTACCTACCTACTTATTAAAATTTTTTTTCTTCTCGAGATCTACCCAAAAAGCACTCGCGATCGACCAGTCGATCGCGATCGACCAGTCGATCGCGATCGACCGTTTGAGCACCCCTGGTGTACACCCTTGTAATAGAAAATTTAGTTTTTCTTAATAATCTTAAATGGAAAATAATTGAAATATTTGAATTGAATTGTATTTTATTATATTGTATCGTTGATGCTATTATTTAATACATAATAACCATAGCATAGAGAATTTTTAAAACATAATAAAAAAGTAGTCCAATCTTGATAAAAACTGGCTTATCGAAAAAGTACCAAAAGGCAAAAAAGTTTCAAAAATATTTTGTTTGATTAATGGTACCACAATAAAATTTATTTCGAAAGGACACAAACATTTGTGGGGTTTAAGGAAACAAAACCTCCATAAAATTTTTCTGTGGTGTACAAATTTCACCGTTATTTTTTTTAAGATATTCCTGCCATAAGAAAGCCACTGTCATATCCATTTTCAATATAAAATCTGAAACAGTTTTCGATATATTGAAAAAAATCGATTTTTATTTCATAACTTTAAAGGGCTGTTACTTTTTTATATGCACCTGTGTACTAAGGTAGCTTAGATTCAATCAAACTATTTTTGGTACCAGAGTCCGTGATTTAATTTGTGACCTACCTTTTTGTTACAACCTGTATAGTTCATAAATGATAATTTGCTAACAAATGCAGTATTTAATAATTTATTTGCTATTTACTGGACCCATTCGGTTTTATCAAATACGTGACTTTTGTAGCAATATGTCAATATTCACATTTCTGTAACATCTGTATTTACTTTGCTCTCAAAACCCGCAAGATATACTTTATTTTGTTTCTTTTCAGGGGTTTGCATGATTGAAAGCGAAAGCGGCAAAGATACCTCGAAACAAGTGAACAAAGCAAACGGAGGAAAAGCTTTAGGACTTTTTCAAGTAAGGTTTTATTGGATGTTAAAAATGAATATCTTTGAGAGTATGTAGATATCGACGTAGTGAAACACAATCTTGATTTTCAATTTTTCAGATAAATAGCAAAGATTGGTGCAAATATGGCTCACCCGGTGGAAAATGTAATATGAAATGTGAAGGTGAGTGTAAACAAACATATTATATAACGAAGCTCTTTTAGTGATATTTACGTCAAATAAATTTTTCATGGAAATGTTTCCAAGTAAATTGAATTATCCAAGCAGCACAATTTCATTTATATTTCTTTTAAAGCATTTTATCAGACCATTTTAGTAATTTGTTACATTTTCTGTAATTGAACTTTTTCAGTTTAGTCTAAACCAAGCATTGTGCTGCTTTTTACTTTAACCATTTAGTAAGAAGAAAAATTACGAAACTTTCCGGCATTTGGGTTTTCAACGAATTATAACGTTTCGGTAGATATTGTTCTGAAGCTATTTTCTTGTGTCATCTTAATGCAATTTACTATTTTTATTGGGAATATGCCACAATTGAAGTCTAAGATTAATTTACTTGAAATTTTAATTTCGTTTTCGGAAATCGTTCTCAAAATATAAAACAATAATAATCTAAACAAGTTTTGTTTTTGTTACTTGGTAAAAAATTCTCCTAATAATTAAATTTTATCTGACCAATTCATATTGGCCATTCAGATATATAGTATACATTTTAAAGTAGATGACATAAAAATGCTATTGTCAGAATTTTTGAATAATGTTTCTGGGATGACTTTATACGAATAAGTTTCAATCGATTACATGAAAATAACTTTAAACATATATGTCAGAAAAATCATAGCAAGTGATTTGTCTTAAAAAAATCATGGGGAAAAGCTTCATAATGCTATCCTGACATGGTAAGAATTTGTCAGTACATATAGTTTACCCTCAATATTAATAAAATCTCAATAATTAATATATATATATATATATATATATATATATATATATATACAAAACAACACAGTTTATTAGGGTTGCAGTCAGAATATTGGCCGGGATGTTAAAAAAAACACTCTTTTGACTTTTTGTCGAGCTTTCGGAATGGTTTTATTCCTTTTTCAAGACACTGTAAAAGACAATTATGTAAATATTTAAAAAATATCACAATTCTTTAGTGTAACTTATTAGTCGACGAGATTATTTTTGTAAGCATTGAACACTCAACATTTATACCAACACATTAAAATATACAATTATGGACATAATACATCATAAAATTTTTAAAATTTGTTGTAAAAATAGTAAAACTTGATTGATGGCATGTTTTACTGGTGTATATTAATTCATACAGAGAATGGAAAGAAAGAACAGTGTAATTAATATGTAATTAGGTGTAATTGATGTTATCTTTCTTTACAAGAAATACTACAGGCCCTTTTTAGGTGACTATACTTTTTTAAACCTGTCTTAATGGTATGCAACATATTATACAGAGGTGTAATTTTTGTACAGGTAAATATTTATTTTATTTTTGATGTTTTTCTAGTAAATAACAATAACATATTTGTCTATGTCGGACTTTTTGTTAATGCAAGATGTGCTAGATTTTATGAAACACATTTCCAAAAAAACACGTTTCCAACCCTAATAAACTGTGTTGTTTGTTTATATTGACAGTCACTAATATCCAGTATTTCTTGAATATTATATATATATATATATATATATATATATATATATATATATAATATTATTATATACTTCTCTTTATTATATATATATATATATATATATATATATATAATAATATTATATATATATATATTATATATATATATATATATATATATATATATATATATATATATATATATGTATATGGAAATGAACTACTGGAGACGATGTTGCCAGCTCAGTAGACTAGATAGGGTGAGAAACGAAGATATTCGGAGAGAAATGGAAATCGATCTTGACATAATAGACACAATCGAAGCCAAAAGACTTAACTGGTATGGACACCTTCAGAGAATGCCGGAAAATAGATGGCCAAAAAAAATAGAAGAATGGACTCCGCCAACTAGAAGAAAACGAGGTAGACCAAGACGATCCTGGAGAGACGATGTCGACGATGCAATGACCGCCAGAGATCTAACAACTGAAGATTGCTTCGACAGAAAACGCTGGAAATTAGGATGCGAGAAGCGGCGCCAGCTGTAGAAGACTCGCTTGTTATATATATATATATATATTATATATATATATATATATATATATATATATATATATATATATATATATATTATATACTTCTCCAAGAAATTAATGCACCACTTTGAAATATTAAAATATGTTATTACCGTTAATAAAAATTTCCATTGTAATGTTATATTTTGCAAGCCCTTGTATATGCTATTCGTACACTCTATATTTATTGACTGTGTTTTATCGCTATAGTTTTTTTTGCAACAAAACAAAAAGAAGCAAAAAATGTACTAATTCTATAAATATACTAATTTCCAAGTGTTCACGAATTTTATTCGGCTACTGTTTAATTGTTGATTATTGTTAATTGTGTTTATTATGGAGCGTCAATCACGTAATTTAACCGAGATGAATGTGCCCAAGCAGTGATACTGTCGGAAGAAGGTTGGAGTTACCGAAGAATTGGTCGTCGGTTTAATGTGTCCCACACATCCGTCTCACGGGTGTTGGAAAGATTCCTCGAAACAGGGGATCATACTCGCAGACCAGGACAAGGACGAAACCGGGTAACTACCCCTATTCAAGATCGATTTTTAAGAATTTCTGCTCTTCGACAACGTTTTGTAACACATCGAAGTCTACAAATTCAGCTTCGAGACGTGCATGCTATACAAATTAGTACTGAAACTGTTCGCCAACGACTTAGGGAATACAACTTAACACCTAGGATTGCCGCCCGAGGTCCTCTATTAACTGCAGAGCATCGAAGGGGAGACTACATTTTGCCAGAGAACACGTTAATTGGTTAGAGGCTGACTGGGAACGAGTGCTATTTACTGATGAATCCCGATTTTGTTTGTACAATAACGACAGACGTGTTCGTGTGTTGCGACGACCCAACGAACGATATGCTCAGTGTAACTTCTCACACACCACATTTTTTGGTGGAGGATCCGTTATGGTGTGGGGTGGTATTTCTTTGACCGCACGTACGGACCTAGTGGTCATACAAAATGGAACTGTTACAGCGGAAAGGTACATATTGGAGATCCTGGAGCAACATGTAGTACCATTCGCTCCTTATATCGGTGAACATTTCTTACTAATGCAAGATAATGCCAGACCTCACGCTGCACAGATCGTCAGAAATTATCTAGAAGAGGTAGAAATTAACACTATGGAATGGCCAGCACATAGTCCGGATTTAAATCCGATTGAAAATATCTGGGATATACTTGGTAGGCGATTAAGAGCATAATAAATAAATCAACAAACGTAAGCGCATACAACAACGCATGAACCAATCTTATCATTTTTTTTTTTAAATGTTCCTTGAAGTCTAAGGATGGTTTTTACGGCATGAAAAATTCGAAATAATTTCCGGGAAAACCCTAAAACAGCTCTTTTCTTTTTCCCTTACAAATATTTTCTAACTAAATGTAGAGTCAATTTGAACTTTATTGCTATTCAATAAAGTTTATATTAAATTACAAGCACTCACTGTTGTCTAAACAATGTAGGTGTGTTCCTAACGTCGAAGATTCAATTTGCGCTTTATTGTCGCTGCACAAAGTTCAAATTCAATCAAATGTATGTGTGTGCGCGTTTGTGTGTGTGCGTGTTCATGTTGGAGGATCTAATGCGTTTACATAAAAGTGATAATATCGTGAACCCGACCAAATTGAAAAGTCAAAAAATGTAAGAGCTATAGATTTGATTGGCCTCGCAATATTCTTTCTTTTGTTTTAGTTTCGGAACGCGACATAAATTGCATCACGTCGTTGCATCTGTCAAACAAACCGATGTTTGTTTCCAGATGTTGGTTAAAATTACAGAAATCATGATTTGAGCGTTATTGGCTGCAAAAACATAGATGTAAATGAATTAAATTTCAAAATTCAAGAACAAATTACAGGCGAATTGAGGATATATAAATCAGTTGATTCGGCTACTAACCAAGATGATGTAGTCAACTATCCGCCTGAATTTTTAAACTCGCTGGATTTACCAGGATTGCCACCTCACAATCTTCAATTAAAGGTTGGATCGGTAGTTATAATGTTGAGAAATATCAACCAACCGCGTCTTTGCAACGGCACACGATTAGCGATAAAAAATTATTGAACAACGTGATAGAAGCAACTATACTGAAAGGAAAGTATAAAGGAGAAGACGTTTTGATACCACGCATCCCAATGATTCCGGACTGATATTCCATTTGAATTTAACGACTACAGTTTCAGTGCGGCTTGCTTTTGCTATGACTATAAATAAGTCATAGGGGCAATCATTAGGTGTTTGTGGTATTAATCTAGAAAACCCATATTTTTTATATTGTCAATTGTATGTTGCCTGTTCCCCTGTTGGAAAACCATCGGATTTGTTTGTATAGTCACAAGTTAATTAAAAAAAAAACATTGTATATCGTAAAGTACTACAATAAAAATAAAACAGACTTTTTTTAATTACTATGATTCACTTGCTTTCTAATACAGATATTACTGAATATACTTATATATGTTTTATTTTATTACATCTGGTATTTACCCTATGTTAATAATAATAATAAATAATTAATTACTATTTATAACTGGGAATAAGCCACAATTAAAGATAAAAATACGTTTATTGACGTTTCAATTTCCAATTCGGAAATCGTTCTCAAAATACAAACAGTAAATTAAACAAATTTTGTTTTTTGTTACATAGTGAAAAAATTCTTCTAATAATTTAATTTTATCTGACTCATTTATATTGACAATTCAGACATACATTATGCATTTTAAAGTAGACGACTTTAAAATGATATTGCCAATATTGTTGAGTTGCGCTCCTGGGACGACTTTACTTATAAGATAGTTCATTCGATTACATGAAATCAACTTTAACTTGAGAATATCCGTCAGAAAAAATCATACCATGTAATTCGTCTTTAAAAAGACAAACACATGACATGATGACAGTAAAATTCTCCT